ATAAGCGTACTTCTTGAAGTGGTATTCTAAAGAATTCTTAATCCCTCATAGACTTAAAAACCACTGTGTCTTCATCAGGTGATCTTTCTGGTTCCTAGGAACAGAATATGACTCACATTATTCAAATATAAAGGGGAGGTTGTTAATAATTAGAAAAAATAAATATCTTCTAAGATATTCCAGGACTGGAAATACCATCTGAAATGCCTGAGCCGGCAGAGGAAGCCGGTGGCTCCCTCGTCCTGGGCTACTGTGGTCAAGAGAAGGGAGACTGGACATGGGGGGACAGAAGAGAGCAGAGACAGCAGATGTTCTCTGCACCCACTCACTAGTCTTCCTCTCTCCTGAAACTCATTCCCATCATCTGTAAGTGTCACATAATCATCCACCTAGCCAAAACATAGTTAGGAAAGTCAATCAGTTTGTGTACCTAATATATGAGGTTTCTCCCCAGAATAGAAACAACGAAACTTTGAAGTTGTGCCCTTTAGATGGTCACCATCAATGCAGACAAGAGGTCAGCTAATTATAGCCGGAGGGGATGTGTCCCCTATCTGGACAGGGGCTTGTCCAGCTGGTCTGCTTTCATAAAACAAGTTTTATTGAAACAGCCACGCCCGTCCGTTTCCATTTTGTTTATGGCAGCTTTTGCACTACAATGGCAGGGTTGAGTCACTGCAAGGGAGACAGAGCCCATATGGACTGCAAAGCCTCAAATGTTTACTATCTGGCCCTTTGCATTTGCAGTTTGCCCACCCTGGTGTAGATCATGGGGGGTTAGCTGCCTGGGAAGGATGTCAGTGCATTGAGAGTGTTGCCCCTGTGAATGTCTTCTCTGAGAAACCAGGTTTCCTTCCTCCCCCGTCCCGGTCCCCAGGGCTCTGCTGACACCATCATCCTTAACCCTTTGTTCTCTGTCCCCTGCCAGACTCCGACCTGAGCATGCGCACACTGAGCACGCCCAGCCCAGCCCTGATATGTCCACCGAGTCTGCCAGGCTTTCAGAATGGAAGGGGCTCGTCCACCTCCTCGTCCTCCGTCACCGGGGAGACGGTGGCCATGGTCCACTCCCCGCCCCCGACCCGCCTCACGCACCCGCTCATCCGGCTGGCTTCCAGACCCCAGAAGGAGCAGGCCAGCATAGACCGGCTGCCCGACCACTCCATGGTGCACGTCTTCTCCTTCCTGCCCACCAACCAGCTGTGCCGCTGCGCGCGCGTGTGCCGCCGCTGGTACAACCTGGCCTGGGACCCGCGCCTCTGGAGGACTATCCGCCTGACGGGCGAGACCATCCACGTGGACCGCGCCCTCAAGGTGCTCACCCGCAGACTCTGCCAGGACACCCCCAACGTCTGTCTCATGCTGGAAACTGTCACTGTCAGTGGCTGCAGGCGGCTCACAGACCGAGGGCTCTACACCATTGCCCAGTGCTGCCCCGAGCTGAGGCGCCTGGAAGTCTCGGGCTGTTACAACATCTCCAACGAGGCCGTCTTTGACGTGGTGTCCCTCTGCCCCAACCTGGAGCACCTCGATGTGTCAGGTAAATGGAAACGTACCTTCCAGCCGTGGGCCTTCCCAATGCACCACTCCAAATCAGTGGTGACATTGCCACCAGCGGAGGGTCCACTTCTTGCTAGCCATCAGAGATGGTGGGGTGGGGGATAGGGAGGCTGGCTCTTCCAAAGGAACTGTCTGTATGCAGTCATGACCCTGGAGGCCACAAGTGTCCTTTTCATCAACTGATGTCCGCTTCTTAGAGGAGCTCTTTGGGCAGTTCAGGTTAGTATGGCTTTTAAATGTGTCTTTACTCTTTGTAACTCCCACAGTTATTTCAGAGCAGTCATAGATAATGGGAACAAAAAAATCTAAGTGCAGATAAATATGAACCAAGAGGCGAACTCAAACACAGTTGAGAAGCTACTCTTAGGTCCACGTGTTGTTGGCCCACAGAGCCATGTCTGAGCTGTAACAAGGACCACGTGTGTCTCTGTGCTATCGGCATTGCTGTGCCACTGCAGGTGATAGAACACTAAGCTGTGGCCTGTGCTCTTGTGGCTCGCCATTTTGTAGACATTGTGGGACGCCCATTATAGCCAAGTGTCTCCTAACATTTCATCCTCATTCTCCTCACCCCTGGGTTAATTTTGTATCATTTCTTAGGCAAAATTCTGCCATTTTGTAGACATTGGGAGACGCCCATTATAGCCAAGTGTCTCCTTACATTTCATCCTCATTCTCCTCACCCCTGGGTTAATTTTGTATCATTTCTTAGGCAAAATTCTCAATCACACAGTGAAAGGGTAAAGTCCATTGAATCATTGAAATTAAGGAAATCTCAGCATGGCCGCTTTGCTTGCAAACCTCTCTCAGGCAGGAAGAATTAAAGCCCAGTCTCACACTTTGGCGCCAGACAGGGATGAGGCTGGACTAACAGCCATTCTTTATCTCATCCGCTGCCCACTCAAAAGATGAACATTCGAGAGGCCGAAATGCATAAGATGCATCAGGGAGCTAAAGAAAGGAACAGCGTGAGTTGCAACCTCAGGGATTGTTGGGGAGGGATCAAGAAGTAAAAACCACTGTGATGGGTGAATAAACAGAATTTGGGATTTTCAAGCATCTGAGGTAACTGATGCCCTCCAATAAAATCTGAGGTAAAGCTAGCTCTCTCAGCTTGCCCTCGCTTTTGAAAGCCTACATCTGAAAATATTTCAGATGACAGTCCGTTATTTTTGCAGATTCCTTCCTCTGCTGGAAAGCAACTCTCTGCTCCTCCACTTCAGCTGGCTTCTGGACAAAACCATAGTCACTGGATGTTCAGTTAGTCATGAGCAGCCGTTGGCATAAAGAAGCAGGAAATGAGGAGGTTTTCTTACATTTTTCCTCCAAGGAATTGTGAAAAAGAAATCATTGTGATGTGGTGCGAACTAATTTCAAAACTTTGTGACTAGAGACAATTCACAGCTTTTTCTAGATGTGTTTTCTCTTCAGCAGAAAAAAAAAAGGCAAAAGCTGGGTTCTTTAACATTCTGAGAGTCTGAGCATTTTATAAACACCTCGTTTTATTGTATTTTCTCAGATTAGAAAATGATTCATTTTTGGAATTCCCATCTTTGCTAAAGGGGCTTCCCATGTACCGTTAATACATACTGCAAGTCATTGTATCCTCTCTTTCAGCATCCTTTTGAAATTCAGAAATACAGAAACTACTCTGGCTATTTGGGAATGGAAATTCTTGGGCTTCTAGCCCAAGTGATCCTGCAGGGCCAGTGAATAACCATTAAGCCTTGACATCTGTCCTGTAGATCAATCTGACCAATTTACAGGTTCAAATATATTTGTGTAGCATAGTTGCATGTCTCCCATGACCCCAGTGATCTGCGTCCATAGAAACTAAATCAAGGGAAATCCGTAGTCACTAAATTAAGAACACAGAATTCCAGATATGGGAGGGATTTCCAGGTAAATGGACTTGAAAGACCCAAAAGACCATAAGTATAGGTTTGTCATCAGCACCTACTAACAGTGCCCTCTCATTTGGAAGAAATCCAGAAAGTACTATGTTGATACAAAGAGAGGCCAGAGGGCTGCCAAAGCTGATGTCACTATGCTTTGCTGTCTTTGGTTTTTATAGATGGCCTTTGATAGTGGCTACCTTCTCAATGGCAGTAAATTTGACTTTGGGAGACTCATACTGGTCTAGAGCTTAATACCCCTAACGGACAAGAGACTGCCTATCCCATCCCTAGCAATGCAAAAAAGTGCCCATTTGGAAAGCTATCTTTTCAAGTCATTGAAAATTACTACAATTAGCTGTTATGTTTTATCATGGTCACACATTACCTTTTACTAACGCTATCTTTAAACATCAATGTAATATATTGAAACCAACCAACTTTCAGAATTTAAAATGTTGTAGTTACTGCATATGGAATTGCTTCAGAAGGGCTCTTTACAACTATTGACCTGGGAGTCATCCTTACTTCTCTTTCTAGGAAATCTTTTATATCCAGCCAGTAGAAACCTATCAAGGTGATTCTTCCTCCCCAGTACCTTGAGTCCATCCTCTATACCTGCCTGCCTGGATGCATGCTTCACTAACCATCCTCTTTATATCTCAATCTCCACAGCCCATCCTCCATACAACCAACCTCTGGAGGATTTTTTTCAAACTGCAAGTCTAACCTTCACTTTCCTGCATAAAATCTCCAATTGCTTCTCATGTCCTACAGGAAAAATTCAAATTTCTCAGCAGAGCATGTAAGTCTCTGCTTAGAAAATCTGTGAGAATTAGGGCTAAAGCTAAAATTAAAAATTATTAATCTAAAATAATACAGGCATATCAAAGTAGTTTCTTCACCAAAACTGTGCTAAACTAGCATTTCATTAAATTTGGGACTCAATTTCAAAGATGAGATACATATTTCCTTATACCAAATACAGTGTCTTTCCTGGAGTGCAGCAGGTCTTGCTAGATATTAATAAAAAGAAAGAAAGAAAAGAAAACGAAACTGGAACCAAGAATTTGAGAACAAAGTTTATCATATGATCTCGAAAAACAAAATCCCTTCACAGGCGTTGCAGATGGACAACCACTAGCACAGACAAAAAAAATTCAGTATAAGCAGGATTACAGTCAGCCTAATGAAAGATACCAAAATAAAGGGATATTTCAAAGCTAAAGTTGAGGGAGACTGTATTTGTCTGTTTTTGTTGCTTATAACAAAATATCTGGAACTGGGTGATATATAAAGAAAAAGAAAATTTATTGCTTACAGTTTCTGAGGCTGGGAAGTCCAAAGTCCATCTTGTGGTGGCAACAGTGACCCAGGGGTCTCACATTGCAAGATGGTGGAAGCAGAGAGAGAAAGAGAGCAAGAGAAAGACAGACTCTCCTCTTTTTTTAAAGCCCTCAGCATCGCACCTTTGACCACCATTTTTAATCCATTCACTACTGCACGATCCTACAATCCAATCACCTCTTTAAGGCTCCACCTTTCAATTACTGTAATAGGATTTCCCACCCTCTTAACAGTCACAGTGGGAGCTAAGTCTCCAATACATAAAACTTGGGGCACACAATTCAAGCTTCAGCGAGTTTTGGAGGACATAATTTAATCCACTACAGGGACTAACCACCTTTCACCAAACCATGGAGCCCACTGGAACAGTGTGACCAGCCTGTGACAAGTCACATCTTTGTTTTCAAGCTTTGGATTGCATGCTTCACTCCTTTCTGAAATTCTTTGACTTGGTAGCACATGGCTTTTGAACCTCATTAATTCCCAGGATCTGAGTTTTTTAACAGTTTCCTGGGCAGCCTGCCAGGAGGTGGGAGGAAAGTCCTTGTTAGCAACACTGTGCAGCTGCGCAGAAGCCTGTGATATTGCATTGAACAGCCAAGGTACAGAGGTGTCCAAAGTGAGGCACCTGGCTTTAGAGCTGCCAGAGGAACTGGAAAAGAGCAGAGAGAAAATGAAAAATATATATACAGTCTATGCAGTGGAATGAAATATACATAAATATACTTTTATTTATATAGTATATATTGACTGTGGATATTTATTATGTATTTATATTTATATACCATAAATATATTGTACATATTTTTATAAAGTAATCTATAGTGAACTGAAATATACAATGAGTGTTTATATATTATATATAAATATATATAATAATTACCATATATAGTATATACATGTAATTTATACACACATATATTTAGGGGTTTAGAAACAGTGCTTGCAGGGGCATCTAAAGATATTTTTTGGAGCATTAATATCCTTTCCTGTAAAATTGACTGTTCTAAGAATCAGGTAAGAAAATTTTATAAAAGTACTTTGTAAACTTCATAGTTCAACACAAATAAAAGTCATAATAATTAACTATAAAATAGACAATTGTTTTTCAGTGTAGACATACTTCAGCCAGGGTCAAAATCCTGAAGACTTTAAATGTTGGAGATTAGATTATCCCATCTTGTCCTCCTATAGAAAGAAGACTTTCTTCTCTGTATAAATCACTTATACATTCATTCAACAGACATCTCCTGAGCACCAGATATGAACCAGGTATGAGAGATACAGCAGTGAACAACCCAGAGTTTCTTTTCTTAGCTTACATTCCAGAGCGAGGAGACAGAAAATGAATAAGTAAACAAATAAATATATAATGCCACCGACTGATAAAGAGTGTTGAAGAAAAAGGAAAGTAAAGCAGGGTATGGTAGGCTACCCAGGCTGGTAAGGGAAGAATTGTCCAATAAACTGACATGGGCTAGGAGACCTAAGAAAGTAGGGGAGCACCCATGGGGTTATCTGGGAAAGCCCTCTCCCGAGCTCAGACCCTGTGGCTGGATAGTGCTTGAGGTGTCTGGGAAACAGCAATGAGCCTAGTGGGGTTGGAGGAGCAGGATAAGAGATGAGGTTCCCTCTGGACCCCTCTGGCAGATGTGCAGAGAATTGACTGTGGGGGCTACGGGCAAGGCAGGGAGACCGTTTGAGGGGCTAGAGCAGCAATCCAGATGACACTGTTGTGCTTCCTTGACCGAAGAGCATTGAATGGAATCCCCAGATAGTCATCTTCTTAGACTAGTAACTACGTGCATTTCCTGGAGAGTTTTCCAGGTTTGTTTGTGTCCATTATCTCACTCCATCCTCATTACATCCCCACGGTGTGGGCTCACCAGCTGGTAATTCTCATTTCATAGAGGAGAGTCTTGAGATGGAAAAGTGGAGCTTCCTGCCTGAGACAGTAGATCGGAACCAGGTGTGACTCCCAACCCAGTGTGCTTTCTGCCAAACCAAGATCATGCCCAAGCTTTGTCTCTCATATCTCATTTCTTTGAACCAGGGAGCTACCAGACCATGGCATGGAAAGAACTGACCTCTCCTGAGCTCCCGGTACAGTCTGGACCAAGGCAAAATATTTTCACATACTGTCTCACTTCTTGTTCAGGGCTGCCTTGCAGGGAGCGTGATCATCCCCATGTTAAGACAAGGGAAATACTCAGAAGGATTGACGTGCCCAGTGGCAGGCAACTAGTGATGGATCAAGGATCAGAATTGTGATCTTTCTGATTCTAAAGCCCGTGAATCCCTGTAAATCCAGATCATCAAAATAGCTAAATAATCGAATGAACACGGGCAACGTTTTCTTTATTTTCTTCTCTGTATGGGCCGAGACAGGGTAACGTAGGGACAGGACTTAGGAGAGGGGCTGGGAGAGTCCTTTCCTGGCGAGGCTCCCATTCCGGCAGGTCGCTCTGAGCGTGTGTTCTGTCTCTTTGTATAGGGTGCTCCAAAGTCACCTGCATCAGCTTGACCCGGGAGGCCTCCATCAAACTGTCACCCTTGCATGGCAAACAGATTTCCATCCGCTACCTGGACATGACGGACTGCTTCGTGCTGGAGGACGAAGGCCTGCACACCATCGCGGCGCACTGCACGCAGCTGACCCACCTGTACCTGCGGCGCTGCGTGCGCCTCACCGACGAGGGCCTGCGCTACCTGGTCATCTACTGCACCTCCATCAAGGAGCTGAGCGTCAGCGACTGTCGCTTCGTCAGCGACTTCGGCCTGCGGGAGATCGCCAAGCTGGAGTCCCGCCTGCGGTACCTCAGCATCGCGCACTGCGGCCGGGTCACCGACGTGGGCATCCGCTACGTCGCCAAATACTGCAGCAAACTGCGCTACCTCAACGCGCGGGGCTGCGAGGGCATCACGGACCACGGCGTGGAGTACCTCGCCAAGAACTGCACGAAACTCAAGTCCCTGGACATCGGCAAATGCCCTCTGGTGTCCGACACGGGCCTGGAGTGCCTGGCCCTGAACTGCTTCAACCTCAAGCGGCTGAGCCTCAAGTCCTGCGAGAGCATCACCGGCCAGGGCTTGCAGATCGTGGCCGCCAACTGCTTTGACCTCCAGATGCTGAATGTCCAGGACTGCGAGGTCTCCGTGGAGGCCCTGCGGTTTGTCAAACGCCACTGCAAGCGCTGCGTCATCGAGCACACCAACCCTGCCTTCTTCTGAAGGGACAACTGCCAGCCCGCCTTGTGTTCGTACAGACGGGAGCAAAACAAAATGTGTTGAGCAAGCAGCATGTGTAAGCACCGACACCCACTCATAACAGATGTTTCTTCCAGGAAGGTTCTTAGGAATCTGGCTTTTATGTTTCCTAATTTCTCATGGGCAACACAGGTCAAAGAAAAGAAGTGGGGGGGGGGAAGGGGAGGGAGACAAATTTCTATCCCAGCGAATAGTTGTGTGGTCAGGCCATGTGTAGGCAGTTTCTCTTCAGCAGGCTGATTGCAGTGTGTTTTCGAAAGCACCTTACCCCTCCCCCTCCCTGCCCTGCTCCTGGACACAGGCCGGACCCTCCTCCCTCTAACCCCACCCCACCCCCAACAGCAGCAGCAACAAAGCATCAGAATAATAACACTCTCAGATTTCCCCTTGATTGGCCAAAACCACACTCTTCAATCCCACAAAGTGCTTTTCAACCCTTTTTAAAGAATCCGTTGCAGCAAGCAGCTTGGTGGAAGAAGAGACCAGCATTCTTCCCTTTGCTCTGCCACTCCCTAGCTGTTTGACCGTGGCCAAAGCACTTCACCTCTCTGGGCTGCAGCTTTCAGCACTGAATCAGAGGCCATCCAGTGGGAGGATCAGCTTCATGCTCATTTTAGAACTGAGAGAACAGAGATACCAATAAACAGAAGCACCTTGGCATAAAGCACACAAGCATCAACTTCTCCCAAGAGAATTGATTCTGTAAATGGGCTGTGCTCTTAGGAGACTTCAGTGCCAATGTCAGTGCACAAAGGGTCCTGTACATCCTTGTGCTCCCATCTGAGCATTACCCATGTCCCTGTTTGTATTGGGCGAGTCGATTGCACATCCTCTCCGGCCATGCTGGATGCCGTGGTTTCTGTGCACAAATACTTTCAGTTTTTCCCCACTGCAAACCATCCCAGCAAGGCACTGAGACCCCTAAACACAGCCAAGCTCAGATCTCCCAGTCAGGTTGCTTTTTCTGAGTATTTTCAAATATGAGGAAAGACCCTCACAATTTTTAATTAAAAAGTGAGGCCCAAGGGAGCACATGTCCTCAAAAGTTTTACTAATCCCTCTCATGCACACTTGCCATGCATCAGACACATCTGTCCTGCAGCTGGTAGGGACAGATGCCTTGGTTCTTTGTCATTCAGATCACATTTTGACTTTTCTCATCTATTTATTTCTTTATGCATCCAGACTTCATCACATGAAGCCTATTAGGGTTAAGTTTGTAAGTGTTTAATTGTGCGAGTTGACACCTTGCGTACTTTCCATGGCTGTCTGCATGTTTTCTGTCAGAGAATTCAAAGCTGACTTCCAGGCGTTTAAACACTGTTCACTAAAAAATGCCAGACAAAGGGAAGAGGGAACACATTGGTTAGACTTAGGTGCTAGTCCACCCAGCAGGCCCTTGGAATAGAACATTAAAATCATTACAAAATATGAATTGTAAATGGATGGGATTTTAAATGGTCCTATTTGGATAGAAATCTTTTTGCTAGCCCTATTTGTGTGAAATCAGGTAGCCAGAAGAAATTCCATTGCCTGTTTTCATGAAATTGAGTTGTCTTTTGTGAATAAATACGTTACCTTTCCCAGATTATTCTCTCACCACACACTTCCTTCATCACTGCTAGAACAGCTCATCCATATCATTTTCAAAGGGTCCACTCTCCAAACCCAGAACCTCTGCGTCTCCAAGCCAAGCCTGCCAAATTTGTTTCAGAACAAGCTTACACAACTCATGACAACTGCACTCCCACTGTAGGCTCCCGTGTGTACTGTTGTCTTATGTTGGGAAAGAGTTGGAGTAATGAGGTGGTGTCTGCCCATGAGCCTTCTTCCATATATCATATGAAACATGGCCTCCTGTCCAATCAACGTCATTACCAACTTGGATGTGCAATGAGGCTTTGTGCTATGTGGAGGTTGGGAGGTGGGGAATGAATTTTTTGGCTGGAGACAGTATCTAGTGATGGCCAAAGAGTGTAGAACAATGGAAGAGGCTGAAAGTACTATTCTCCTGTTCTGTGACTTGTGAGCCTATCTAAATTAAAGCCTCATAATTTGAGAATCACAAAGGATTGTCCCTAACCCTTGGCACTGGGATCTTTCAAGTGAGCTGGTTTAATACTCCCAGAATGAGCAGAGAGGTCCAGAATGGCTCCCTGTGCCATTATGAATACCTTTATCACCACCATCTGACCACATCACCCAAACTGTCTTCCAAGCATGAGACAAAGCGGACTTTTCACACTGATTGCCCAGCACAAACTTTCTTTCCCAGTTTCTCCTTCTTCCCCAGTGTCTTCTCCATCCATTCTGTTCTCCCTCAGAGTATGAATCTGTGACAGAGGTTACTGGGGAAACAGCTCAGCAGATTTTAGAGACCAAGCAAAAAGCCTCACTGGAAAATTAATCTGTTTGAAAACATTGCTTCCTTCCTGGCTCTGCTAAACTGAATGTTCATTGTCTTTTTCACTTCTAATGTTCAAATCACTGCGTGCTGTATGACTCTAGAAAGCCTTAATTTACTACCACTGAGAAATAAAGCAATATGTTGGTAAGCAGGCTCAGCTTCATTTTTAATACCTTTGCCAAAAGAAAGTGGTGCTCAGATGGGGACCCTCAAAAGTGATCAACAAACTTGCTTTATGAGGAAGGACACAGCAGGCCAGGTCACTGCCACTGCTAACCCTTTAGAGTTGCATCCGTGGTTTTGTCATCTCCCTTGGTCCAATAACTTTGGCTTGACGTTAGCAGGTAAGTGAAAAAAAATAGCTTCACAGTATAGTACAGTTCTTCAACTCCTTATCCAAGTTCTTGGTGCCATCTGTAAAAGGGAATTCACAATTTTTCAGACTTTAGGAAGTGATCTATGGTGTATTTTGTAACAGTCACAGCAGAGCCTGGGATGGCACCCTTAATTGAACATGTCAATATTTCTGCAGCAATAGGTATGAATAGTCACACTTCATGAGGTTATTACAGACTATAAATAGTATAAATATCCTTGCATCAGTTCAGGTCAGGTTTTGTCACCAAATTAATTCATGCCATACATAATGAAAAGACTTCTCCACCCACTCTCCCTCCCAAGCTTTCTGGATTTCAGAATCATGGGTAAGTAATTATAGGCCTGAAAATACCCTGGTAGTGGTTACAAACATTGGAGGAATCTTCAAAATTATGCTGACCACTAGTTATTTTAAATTTAAAAGTAAAAAGATGTATTAGAGCATTAGAACCTGGATGGAGAATATGGCAACCTGATCTAAAAGGTTAGTTGGGAGAAGAGAAAAGCCAAATCCCTCTCTCCTCACCCAAACCTTTAGATCTGAGAAATCAATATGGCGGAAGGCAAGTCTGATAGGTGACTGGAGACTTCATTCTTAGCAAGTAAAAAGGTTTTCAGAGATATCATTTTAAAGGTTCTTGTCCTCACCTTTTTCTCACCCTGTGTTAGCTGCTTTAACGCTCATGTAAACCAATAGGACTGTTAATTGCCTTGCAACATTAATCCTAGGTAGTCCATGCATTTCTTGTCAAGATTCCAGAATAAAGCTAGCAGCATGTAAAATTCATTCACCCTTGAGGTTCATGACTTTTAAACTGAAATTTGGTCAGAGTTAGAAAAAAAATCTTCAAAAAGTTTGATATCTAAGAGCATGCAAAATGAAAACGAAAAGATTGAATATTTTTTAAGGAAAAAGGAAGACAATAAAACCACTTACTATGTCTAAATTATCACAGGAAAGTCACCAAAAGTGACATGTTTGTTCAATAGCTGGCAATCATGATTAGTTCAGACAGAAGTTAATTGAAAGAAATGCTAAATAGACAGTAGAGGAGGGATACAAACTATTGAGAGACTAGGTAAATGTAGTGGAAATGCTCACACATAAAATCTGTGAAACAAAATTGGTTTTCCTCTTGCATGCTGTTAGTCAATTGGTTTCTTCTTTTTTATCTGTACACCTGAAGTTGTCCTGCAAGGGGGAGAGGTGCAGTGGGAAGGAAGAGTGTCTGTCGCCACTTGTCTACAGTGGATACTGATACTATCCTTGCCCAAACACAGCTCCGATTGCCAAAAGAGCAACTCAGACGGATTTCATTAAGATGACCACCAGGGGGGTAAAGCCATTCATGAGGTAGGAAATACTCCCAGATACTCAGAATGGAGACACTGTATCCAGGAATGCACCCAGGATATGGCTATTCATCATTTTTTCTGAGTGCATCATTATGTCCCAAAGCCACTTGTCTGTCTGGCAGAGCCCCTTTCCACCCTCTCAGGTCGGAAGATCAGTTTGCATTTTAACCACTCAGGGTGAAAGAACATCTTCATTTGGGAGCTGGACAAGACACAATACTGTCTGTTAACAGAACAGTTGTGGCATCTCCTGCAGAGCTATCCCAGGAAGTCTTTGCATCTCGATGACAATCCCGTGGACTACTCAAGAAGACTGTCTTTCAGCTGTGGATTGTTGCTCAAGTGTTAGCAATCAGCATCATCTGGTGTCAGAGAGTGGCCCTGAAGAATCATTAAAAATGAAATTTCTGACTTAAACATTTCCAAACCAGTCACTTCTATGTTGTGTCATGCTTGTTTTTCTGGCTGCTCAGCTACTGAACTTTACTCTCAAGAAATCAGTATGTCTAAATTCTGTCCCTGCCCATGTAATGATCAACATATGATGGAGAATAAAAATTGTAATCATTCTTTATGAACAGAGGATGACCAAAAAGTGCCAATCTTTCAAAAAAAATCCTTTAACAATAGTTTATTGACCATCTACTATATTCCAGGTACTATGACAGGTTCTGAGTAAATAAGTACAAATCTTCTCCCTGAAGAATCAGATCAAATAACTACAAAAACATGTAATAAGTTGGGGTGGGGGCGTGGAATAAAAGAGATTGTGGCAGCATTCATTCATTCATGCAACAAGTATTTATCATGAACCTAGTATGTGCCAGGTACTGTTCTGTCACTGGGAGTCCTGCCTATAGAGTGTATCAAAGAAATAACATTCAGCTCATTGTTAGGAGACAGGGACAAGGCTTAGGGTCACCTCTTAGAGAAGACCCTTGAGCTGGGTTTTACAAATTCAGACGAGGCAGGCATCAAGCACAAAAAAAAAAAACCCATTATGCTCTTGAATGTCCAAAACTGCATATACGGAGCCCACTCAAGGAAAAATAATTGATAAGGTTAATGAAACCATCTCCCTCTAGAATAGGTTGACATTATCAAAACATGAACTATATTAACTATAGGTTAAGATTATCATGGCCTTGGGTTAATCATGTGGAAACATGGCAAGTTCTGTTTTATTCCAGTGTCCTCCCACAGATTAGTCCCTGTGTCTACATGTGTACATGCACACACACACACACACCCCATATATATGTAAAATACGTATATGTATTTAAGGATGGGAACATTGTGAGAAAACAACACTGAAATATAATTTCTTTGGCAAACTATGTAAGAACCTCAAAGCAGCTTGCCTGTCCTTCCAAACAGCATACGCAATAACAGCCCAAACACAGCCATATGCCTGTGAACCCTGCAATCACGATTCCCCAGAATCTAGCTCAGGGAGAGTGACAGGAGATCCATCCCTCACTAACTCTTGGGCTTTTCAACCAACATTGGTGCTCTTAGGTGTCACTCTAATTGTTACATACCTGTGATAGGAATGATCAAAATAATTGAGGTTTTCTTCAATTTACCATGTGCCTTTACTGAAAATGAAAGTATGTCAACAATTTTCAAAATACTGTGGATGGCCCAAGTAAGGTTGATTAAATAGCCTTTAAAATTGCCAAGAAATGGATTTTGTATGTAAATTCACTGAGGATGGATGTTTTGAAACCTCAAACTCTATCGGGATTGTGAATGTGAAATTATCTAGCCACAGTAATAATAAACTAAACAGTGAAAGCTATTAGGACACGCAAGGGTGATAGTAAGGCTTTTAAATCCCCTTGCTCTGCAGTCAGAGTCAACAGTCCTTGTGACTTTTCAGAACCCCAAGTGTCTCCCAGAATCTGAGCAGGCTTATTAAGCCCATTTCCAGATAGGCATGCAAAAGATAGAGGAAGGAGGATTTCTCATTACAAAGATTAACCAGTAATTGGTACTTTCTTTTTCCCTAGTCTTCTTCCAGCCACTAATGAACACAGCCACCGTCTATACATAAATTAAAAAAAAAAAAAAAAATTCAGGTTTCACA